AAAAATCAGAATTGAATTAGTGGGGAATTCAGTGAATTTATAAAGATAAAATTAAAGTGAGCGTATGGTTGATAATCATATGTGTGTAGTTAGTGCTCGAATTAGTCGAATTGGTAATTTAAAAGAATAGGAACTCAAATAGAAATCAAATACCTAAATAGCGTTCCAACTGAACATTTATTTAACATTGCACTAACCCGTGGGGGCTAGGCCCTACACTCCTTTAATTACTACCATCATATTTTAAATTAAATAAAATATTCTTAATATTCTAATGTTTATTATTTTTGACTAAATGTTAATATGTTTACACTTTTAATCACTTCAAACTTTTAACTTTTTCCCTAGTTGAATTAAATAGAAAAAACATTGTAGGTAAGAAATTCAATTAAAAACGTATGGTATATAATATACAAAAAAAATATTTCGCCGTCATTTATATTTTATATTGCTCGATTGCGTACCTGTGCGTTCTTTTAGGAAAATGTAGTATGGGAACTCTAATTAACATCAAAAGCTATAGTTTAGGAGTTGAGTTCCCAGCGTTCCTTCCCAATTCGAGCATTGTGTGTAGTAGGTATATATTAAATATATATATATATATATAAATACAAATATAATTTGAAAACGCTAAGCAATAACATCACCTGTTTTTGGAATATCATCATTATAATTTTTTGGCAATTTACTCAAAATTATTTTTCAAATGGTCTGATTGTTGTCACAATCTAATTATATAATAACAACTATCTATAGATAATAACATATTTATGTCGGCTATATATGACGCACTGAAATGTTAGACTGCACCCTCCAGACTGCAGCTGTCCATTAAAATTCATGTTTGAATATATTTTAAAATAGTAAATAATTTTGAAGTCCAGACTTAAGAAAGTAAAATTTGGTAGTTGCAATGATTAATATAATAAGTTTGTCAAATTAAAAATCACTTATATAATATTTAGATACCTATTTCAGAATTCTTTTATTATATTTAGTTATTTAATTACGTGACTACTGACTTTATAATTTACTGTTGCTGGCATAATAATTATAGTAATAATTAATAGTGTCTATAAATATATATATATATTATACCTACCTAACTTGATATTATAAAAACCTATACTTCGTTTCACGTTTTTGATTTTATAACATGTTCGTATTGTGTATAACCAGTGTAGATACTTATTGATAAAGTTGTCATTTAAATAAAGTAGATTTCATATAATAAGTATAAATTATAAAGGTATAAGATAGATATTGTTGATAAAAATATAAATCTTCTTCTGACCGAAAAAATTGAAAAAAAATATGAACGGATATTCCATTGAAATGAGATATTATATACCTATATTTTATATTAGTTATATTACATCTGACGAAAACACATCGTAAATATACCTATAGTATAATATATTATGTATTATTTATACTGCAATTGATTTTCGATGAAATCTGAAAAGGTATTATGTAAGTACAAAACATAATCTTTTATTATAATATATTATAGTATATATTACATATTATACTCGATAGAAATTCATTAAACGTTCGAAGGGTGCATTATATTATAATACGCACCCTATAGGTATGCTTAATAGGTAATTCCAAATATGCATGTTGTTCTATAAAAAAAAAAAAAAACTATTTTGTATAGTATTATAATATAATTATATCATATTATTATAGAGGCTATAACGTAGAATAAAATTTATGTTAGATATATTATATAGCATAATTTCAATACACTTTAGCAGAGCTTCGAGCATTTTTCATAAATATGTTTTCCGTTTTGTTTACGTGCGTCTCTATCGAAGTCGAGACACGCGGAAACCGTCAGCGGTCGACTACCGAAAAACATGACTATAATAATAACAGTGCGGCGTTGTTACCGGCAGCTTACGAGCGCGCAGTCGGAACCGAAACGGACGAACGACGCGGCGGAGGAGTGGTTTGCAGTCGGACCGCGTGTCGCCGATTGGCCGGTTGGCCCGACCCCGCGCGGCCCTCGCCACGGCCCACGCACGCACACACAAACATACGTACGCACGTACAAACACACGGCACGTCACCTGTACGAGGCGGCGTTCATTGTCTCCGGCGGTGATGGTCTTCGGTGGTGGGGGGGAGGAGATTATTTTTTAAGGAACGACGGTCGGGAGAGAGAAAAAAATCCACTACCAAAACATTGATGACCTACAGACTGATCGTACATTTGTGGATCGTATCGTGTGAAACACAGTCGTCGTCGTGACCCGGTAGGATATAGGTATATTATTATCATACTCCGCAGGTTTCGAATAACAACTGTCATATTATTATGTTTAATATGTACCTATAAAAATAAACTATTATACCATGATACACTATCATCGTATCTATCTATGTATATAGATACATACAACATACTCGTACATTCATACGGCAAGTGTTTACTGCTATTTTTGGAAATTCGTCAATTTCGCAAAAAAATCACATCAATGGAGTTGCTTTATTACATGTGCAATAAGCAATTAACATATTTCGCTGCTCATTTACGATTATAATATTATATTATTTGTTTTTCATTTATTTTCATTTATTTTTCTTTATATTAATATATACGCCTATCCATGCTGTAGTGGCTATACGCGTTTTATTCGTTGTACGTACTTATATATTGCTTGTTAGACCTAGTACTTAGTACCCACATTTTAACACTATAAATATTTCATAAGTCATATTGTGAATAAATAATAATGAAATAATATACCAAAGCTTTTATGAGTATGTACAATGTACATATACATATGACATTATATGTATATTAATGTCAATGAGACGACGAATCAAATATATACAATTTTTTATTGCGATATTTAACACAATAGCACATGCAATCAAGGTGGTTTAAATGTATAATTATAAGTTTATAAATAGTTCTTATATTTTATATTATTATTAGGTATTATTTTATCTATTTTAATCGCTGTTATAATGGTATAAATAATAATTAGAATTTAAAAACTTTTGACAATTTATAGATTGATGTTGGTTATTAAATTATTTTATACAATCTTAATGTAGTATATTATTATCATTTTAGATTTGTGTATTAATTAATTTTTACCTTTAGATGGGTGATACATGAATCTATAGTACTGTAGCAATATATTATAATATAATGAATTTTAAAATGAGAAACTATTTTTTATACTTTATATACAAACATATTATATAGTAATTTAATTCAACTTTTTGATTCTGCACTATTTACTGCACCTAAAACTTAGGTTATTGATTATTTTTTTAATGAATTTACCAATAAACATTCATATACAAATATTATTAATTAAGTATCAATACATATATAGGTAATTTCATTACTTGTTGGGATAGGTCATTTATCGTTTCATAACCCATGTTTTTTCTTTTTATGAACTGCATTATATTATAGAAATTACTCAATTGAGTTTAATTTATACCAGAACAATATAAACTGAGTAAAAATGTATACTTTTTTTATAACTTAATTTTTATTTCAATAATATTATGTTAATAAAAATAAAACTTATTAAAAAATTTTTTGAAAATATATTCATCTACTTATATATTTTTGAAAAAACTCTTTTCATATGAAACTGTACGTAAAGTAACTGCCATAATAGTGAAATCAATGATATATATATTACATATAATAATGATTTATTATATTACACCGATACTATTAGTATGTATACATAGCGTATAAGCGTTGAATACGCGTTATCAATAACATATAAGTTTGTAATATATCGTAGAAAGCATATATACGGCCTATATCTATGCCTCTTCTTTTTCTTATTTGGTTTTCACTATTCAAGACCATACCGGTAAGTCAGTATATTAGATATTATCTATTTCTATCTTCTACTAATTACTGCCAATGACTATATGGCTCTTGCACTATTCTAACATCTTTTTAACGCATATTCCTATAATTACCACGGTCTCCTTCCTACTTAGCTTTTTTCAGTTACTTTTCGTTTTAGCGAATTGTGCATCCTACAGGTATGATCTACCCGAAACAATCTTATTTTTTTATTTTCTTTCAGTACATTTGGTTGCTAAAAAAAGGGTGCAGTTTATCATTGTGTTGTTTCATCTATTCATTTGTCTGAGCATTAAAGAATGCCCTATATAGTATTTTTTTCTCACACTATCATCTTTTGTTCTTAAGTTTTTCTTAAAGGCTATCTATGTTTCTGCTTCATAAAGGGCAATCGGTTTTAACAGAATTAAGTACATTCTAACTGTGTAAACATAATGAATATATTTACAACTCAAGAATTTGTCTTCCGATGTATACCAATACTTATATGTATTGAACAACATACAATTTTAAGTGCTTACAAGTTATAATATAATACAATTTTATTAGTATGATCGAATTTTACGTTCTTCGTCGAAATCAACGTAATTTATAACCTTAAGATTTTTCACCCAAAAGTGAATAAAATGAAATACATAAATTTAATAGACATATATTGTAATAATCGTCGAGTAGCAGTGATGGGAGCGCGTCTTGAATGGATGATTAGTATAAATAACGTGTGGATAAGGCGTCAAATATGTACACTTTTTTCGTATATATTAATATTAAGTATATACGGTATTATATAATGTAAAAATATCATATACTTGATAATATTATACAATAAGTCGTAGGTAACACGCGGGAGTGTAAAATAAAACGTTTGCGCGCGCACGCGTGTGTGTAATGATTGACAGGTGGTGCGCGGGAAAAATCATCGGCTGCGGCTGCTGTGTGGCAGCCGCGGCGGCGGTGGTGGCGGCGGCGGCTGCGGTGGTGTGATGACTGACAGTGGCGGCGGCGGCGGCGGCAGAGAAAAGGCGGCCCCGTCGTACCGATCGCGGCGCAGGCGCACGACGTATGGTTCATGTGCTGCGCGCGGCGTGCGGTAGTGTTGGGAACGGGAATAATAATAATAATAAAACTATCGGTCCGTCGCGCGCCATCGTCGGCGTATCGCCTCATCCGCCGCGACTGGCATTGTACACTCTGCTGTGACTGCGACGACGACATCGACATACGCGTCCGATGGCCGACAGTCGGCGGACTACGTTCGACCACGACGTCTGCTAAACGTTCAGCAGCTTGCGCTTTACCCATGATATATTTTACTGTAAATTGTACGGAAGTGAATTGATGGTGCGATGAATGTGCGCGAGTTTTATTCGTTTTCGTATTAAATTGCCGTCGTCAACAAACCGTTTCTAAAATATTATTTCGGTACTGACATTATAAAATATACGACTTAAATAATATTAACTACCTCCGATGTAAAACTGTACCACTATTACACCTAGTTTAAGTATACCACTACAACTACTACTACTATTACTACTCCTATAGTTACTATATTAGGCCCTACTATTTTAATAATATGTTATATATATTATTATTATAACACGCCGCCGATATATCAATTATAGTCGTACCGATTATAGTATAATAATATTATCGTGCGCGGGTGATTGTCGAAAATAACACAACGTTTTTCGCGTGAAAAATACCGTCGCCGGGCGTTCGGAATGATGTTAAAAAACACTGAGGCCGACCTGCGACCCGGCAAACAGCAGCAGCTGATGTTGGGCGCGTTCGGCGGCCCGCAAATGTTGGCAGATACCCTGCACGCCGCCTCGGCCGCCGACGACGAAGACGACGATGACGATTGCGGCGGTGGAGATCGCAAGGGAGACATGTACGCGGCGACCGCCATGGCCATGAAGGACTCGCCGGTGGCGGCCGGTCTGCAGGACGGCAACGGATTTTGGATGGCGGCCGTGTCCGCGGCCGGGCCGCAGATGGACCACCACGCGGCCGACTATCAGCCGGCCGCCGTGCCCGACTACATGATGCACCATGTGATGGGAGGCGGTGGCGGCGGTAACGAGAACGTGTCGCCGGTGGACCCACAACACCAGCAGCAGCAGCACCACCAGGTCGCTGCCGCCGCTGCAGCCGCCGCCGCCATGTACCAGATGCAGGCAGACCAGCAGGTCGGCGGCGGTGGTGGCGGTGGGATTGGTGCCGGCGGAGGTGGTGGACAGCAAGAGTATCCTTGGATGAAGGAGAAAAAGACCACCAGAAAAAACAACCATCAAGGTAAGTTTCGTGAACAGATTACATTGTACGTAAGCAAACAGCCACGTTTATCGAATACTTTGACGTAACGCGTACTTGACGCGAACGTTGAAATGTCAGAAGCTGTTAGAGACACTCGAAAGGAGTTTTTTGTATTTATACCGTGTAACCTCCCAAAAACCGATAACACATCATTCGAATGTTACATGTATATATCATATTTTGAAGCACTATTACATTATTATATTATCTATACGTCGTATATTTATGTAAGTGTATAAAATACTTACTCAGTATGTCTGAGAAAGTTTGACATTGCATTCCGTATACATATTGTTTAGGCCGTAAACTTTGTTTTGACGAGGGACACTGGCGCAGTAGGGTGTAGTTTCATATAGTGTCATCAGTTCAAATGTACTAAATTTGTTCTATAAAACGGAATTTAGTAAACAGTTTTAAAAATTAAAACGCTTAAACTATTTGCTTATATACTCTAAAACTAAAAAAGATAGTAGTTACATAATTTATACATAAAATTATTTATAATTCGAGAATTTCAATCTTGCATTATATTCCACTGTAAATAAATATGTTAAATAATTGACAAATCTTTGTATTCGATTGATTAAAGTATCCAATAATTATTATTTGTATATTAACATTATTAAATTGTGAAAAATTGTTTGCTGATTCTATTATAATATTGAAAGTAAATTTTAAATACTAACACCCGATAATGATTTAATATTCTTTTTGTATTAATATATTTTTATATTTATAAACAATAATTTTTCAACTGCCACGCCGGGTACATAACCTACTTACTAAGAAGTAAGAACACATAAAAAGTTTTCAACTACTCATACATGTGTTACTTCATTTATCACTTCATGAATTTAAATTCACCCCGTTTATTGTGTGTTTGAATCATATAAGGGGAGAGAAGATCACTGTTTTTTTTTTTTTTAATAAAATCTTTCATACTCTATATGGTAACTTTTCACATAAACCCTGCAGTAAGTACCCACGAAGAATGGCTGTTGTCAAATTATTATTTTTATAGTATTTTTGTAATATTATAACTTTACATGAGAAGATGTTTCCTAAAAAATCATGAAAAAAATTTTATTACCATATATTAAGAGGGATAATAATAATAATCGTGTAATAATTATGTACTGAACAAAATATTCAATTATAAATGTACACACAAAACTACCATTATAATTTATAATAAAAACACTGAAAATCCTAATTAATTTATCATTTGTATACCTATTACCTGTGTCATTTTTATTTATTGAAACAAATTATAAACGACCAATAGTATAATTAACTCTCTTGGACTTAAAATTTTTTAAACGTTTTCTAAAACGCCAGACAGACTTCGGGAAGTAATTTTGATTGTTCTATATGAAATGTACTTCCCGTACATATAAATTATTAGCGTGGTATTGTTTTTCCCAGACGAATAACCCATCAATTTGTGTTTGACATTCGGTTGAGGGTTTGACCGTGTCGATTTATCATTATCGTGTTTTTGTGTGTACACCGCCAGATAAATCGGAGTTTCTCACCGACAGTATACTATAATAGTCGTCGCCGACGCCGCTTCTGCCGACCGCCTTAGGTACACCTACCTATAAAACAGAGAACTGGTCGAAATTAACAAAAAAGGTTGTTAATAAAAAAGGATAATTGAAACGATTAGATAGATAAAAACAAAACATGATTCGATTTGCTGACGTTTGTGGGATTTCGGTATAAGTGGCGTGAATAAACACTGTTATGACTACCGAATATCCTGCAAGTTACCCTCACCCTCGAGTATAATGATTACAACCCCCAAAATTCATTGAATCGTAAATTTGTAAATCATTTCGATGTTAAATGTGAATCAATGATGAAGTCGCTATTTTAGTTGTTTATAATATGTTATAAAGAATGTTGAATGATAGTTTTACGGTTTTTAAATTTAGATTTGTGCTATTGACACGAGTACGTACGCATGCAACTTGTAACAAAAATAAACCAACGTTGGTGTTAATAAAACTCTAATGCTAAATTATAACTAAATTACACATGTATATATTAACTTTAAATTACATAATATACCTTAAAATATAAATTTATAATTGTAATCAGAAGTATACATCCGACGTTAATTTAAAATCGGTTATGATTTGATAATTAAAATGTATAACTCTAGTTATACCAATTATATAACTTTATAATAAAATATATTGAGTTTATTTTTTACGCATTCATATTTTTATATATAGGTAATAATTTTTATTAAGTATATATTTTAAATATAAATTTAAATTATTTAATAAATAATTCCTTTTATATATTTAACTAGAATTCTTAGGTAATTATTATATTCAAAATCTATCGCTACACCAGTGTTTTAATAAAATGTATTGTATGTAGTATCTAGAAAGTCTGAAAAATAATATAGAATATGTAATTTTATTTATTTTAGTTTTAGTTAATATAAAGCAATAGTAGGTACTTTTAAATGACAATATTTAAAATTTATTTTTTAAATGCTAACTAATAAATTTCATAATTCATTTTATTGATTTCTTTAAACATCTGTTATATTATTCAGGTACTAACAAAAATATATATTGAAAAGAAAAAAAAATGAATCCAGAATTCCCTTCTTTTTAGGAAAAAAAATGTTTACTACTTCATAATATATAATATATATATATAAATATTATATAGATCGTTTTGAATAAATTGAACTTATTGTATTTAGTTTGTGAAACGTGGACTACTGTCAGATTGAATATGATCGATAGGGATGTTGATGTGAGAAAATTTGTTGAATTAAAGTAGGGTCATTCTTTTCACGTAAGAAAACATTAATGAATAAAGTATTGTATACATAAAGACCATGTTGCTTCTAGACGAATTAATGAAAGATAAAAAATAACAGTATCGTGTTTTCAAAGGTTGTTCACAATGTTTTTGGAATTCATTGGATAATTCATTATCGAAAATAACATTACTTTAAACAAGTTTATATAGGAGTATAGGACGACATTTTAATATACCTGCTATATAATCGCGCTGGGGTTAGATCCCCAAAGGTGGACCAGGTCAAATATGGAAGCTCATCCACACCGCCACCGTCGCCAATGGAGTTCAAACATTAATTACTGTCCGCATACTATTATTTTAATCTGTCTATCATGAAGGTTAAATTATGCTGTACGACGTGTACGATAAAAATTATTATGGTTTACTGAAACTATACAGTATACATCGTCAAAAAGTTTTTTTATACGTCGTATAATAATACAATATTATGTGCACTACCTCAATTATAAGCTATCTACATGTATATATACACACAAAACGCTTTATTTTACTTATTTCGTGTCTCAGTAGGTTAGATCGACATATTATTATAACGGCAAATTTTAATACCACAATACACTATGACTTTATATTGTCTGTGCATAAAATATGCATTGTTTATAGAATTATTATCGATGTTGAATAAGGTATCAACAAAATATAGTAATTTAAGGATCATCCGGTTATTAAATGGGGCGGTCAAATATTATGCGATATATTTTCGTTATACTTTACAAGCTGTCAATTTACACGATAGTATATTATAATAATATTATGTAAGAATAATATTTACACAGACGACTAGTTAACTCAATATACTTGAATATCTTGAATGGGTGTATAATGTGCACCTATTTACCTGTACAGGTTGTTTTGGGATTTAAGACGTCGTGCAACGATGATGAGTATTCATTAGATTTTACCGAGGATTTTTAGTTTATAAACAGGTTTTCAATATGATAACCGGTGATCAAACAATTATTGGTGTAGGACAAGTTGCCGCGTTCTTTTGTGATTAATCATGCACATCATGTGCATGCTGCAGTATTTGCAGGAAAGAAGGTACCTATAATTTTAACCATTAAAATATACATATATGTATATTTTATTTATGTATAATATACACTTAACTATATAGTATTGAAATAAGCATATGGTGTTTTCAGTTTTTAAACCATAATATTATAATATGAATTGTTTTGTTGAAATATGCTTAATAATAAATATATAGTAATTCATTGTGTAATTATACAATATAATTATTTATATTTATATAATGTATGTAATATTTATATTTACTATGTACCTAAGTATACACTTTCTCCACAAAATCATAATTTTATGTTAAAAATATTATCTAATAATATGACGGGTATCTCTATATGCTTTAAATTATGTTGCTTACATTTATTTTGTGGTAGGTAAGTACTTGTCAATTATTAAACATTTGAAAACTTTTGTCTACAGTAGGTACTTACAAATATCATAGTCGATTGCAAGTACATACCTACTTATTCATAATCTTCATAATAATAACACAATGTATATTACAAAGTTGTTTTATTAGTTATATTATCTTAATTGTTTAAAATTTAAAGAATTGAACGATTAATCGTTTATAATTTATTTTTGTGAACAAGAAAATACCTAAAAATTGAGCTATGCAAATCACTATTTATTATAGGTATATATGAAGTTATTGTTTAGAATAATCAAACAAAAATATTATTTTTATATTCATGTATTAAAATGTTAAGAAATCTTTATGAAGATATCTATAATGATCGTAAAATATACTTGGCATCTATTAATTATTAATTATTATATTATATGATAATCATTAATCAACAAAAAGAGACTTGAACGAGTGAGCATGAAATTGCATAGGATTTTACTGTAACAATTGATATTATTAGAGAATTAGTTGTATTAGTTATGTTTAATATAAAAATAATATAATATATTTTATTTTAGCACCTCTATTGATTTTTAAATAATAAACGTTTGTTAGATTGATTAAGGTTAAAAGGAACTAAATATTTTATATTATGTATTCATATGGTGTTAAAAATATTAACTTAATATACCAAGTATAGTTAATTTGTAATAATAAATAAAGATATATATACTTTATATGTAATACATATATC